ACTTTTGATCTTGAATACTGTTCGTTATCTCCATATGTTTCATTTGAAGAATTTATTTTCTTCTAAATACCCCATTCATACGACAAAAATTTGTTTATGTGTGCAATTTACACATAAGTAAATCTAAACACGTAACTTGGTAAAAGTAAATTTGCTATGCGTTCAGACAAGATTTATGTACAGTTAGTAAATCCTCGTATTTTCATATAAAATAAGGAGATGGCCATGGACAGATTCAGAACTGTATATCTTTATAGAAAAGGGAGATTTTCTTATTGTTTGGGTATAAGACTGCCTTTTGAATGTTTCTCAAAGAAACGGGGGGATCCACTGAATTATTGGTACGAAAAAAACGAACTTTATAACTTTAAGGACAAAGAAAGGTTCCAGAATTTACACACAAAGAAGGAAAATTTATTAATTTTTTTTTGTTTAATGTTGGAAAATGATTTGGCATTGGTCCTAAAGATTGTTGGTGTAAAGAAAAAGATGAATATTTCCATCTTCTTGTTGACGTCTTCAGCAGAAGTACGAAATAGGACGATTGGAATCTTTTTGCTGTTGGTAAATAAATAATACATCAAGTGTGCAAGCCATTTAATAAAAAATATCTGTTTGAATATGATTATAATGTATTTTAAGGAGAATGAAATGGATGAAGAAAACTAACAGTGATCGATCTCAGTAACCTTTGAACAACATAAATATGTGAATAGGAAATTAACCCGAACCTCTAGAAATTTTATGGGGCTAAGTGCCTAGTAGGATACTTACTTATGCTTACTTTCAACGAGTTAATTGAAATTCCTGTACCATTAACCTATATGTGAGTAGCCTGCCTGAATTATAATCAGGGGAAAGGTAGAAGAAAGTCATCAAGAGCTAAAGGTAATGGGTCCCGAGCGATTGATAGAATGTATGTTTATATCATAGCTCCGGAGCATTCCCAAGGGTACAACTTGTATATTAAGGACACTACTTATTGATCCTACAGGGCACTGGTTTACTACCACAGCTGTAGACATAAACAAAGGTTTGCAAGAAAGGGTGCAAGATGCCTCTCTATTTGCAAATTCGAAAAATGTTTTCGGAGAAGATAATGGCTCCTTGTTTAGAGTTTTGCCTTCTAGCCACCATGTTTACTGACTGATATTTTACATGCCAATGCATACACACCCGAAACAACACTAAAAATTGATATTTATGCAATAAAAAAACAAAATACATATATATATATATATATATATATATATATATATATATATATATATATATATATATATATATATATATATATATATATATATATATATATATTAATTGTTCATATGACAAAATTTACACACATAAACTGATAATTTGCTACATAGTGTATGCAAAAGTTAATTTACACCTAGTCTTGACCACGTGTAAATTTACTCAACTGTGCAGAATTTGCATATGAGTAAATCAGTTCATACGACAAAAAATGCACATGTGAGTAAATTTATGTACGTGTAAAATATACTGAGGTATGCAAATCATGTCGTATGAATGGGGTATTATAAGTATCCTTCCATCACAAAAATAGACCCTCATATTTTTTTCTGTTTCTTTATGACTTTGTGAGCAGTTTTTAATTGATCGTTGAATAATATGTATTGTTTAATTTAAATATGTTATAAAATTAAATTGTAATTAGGTACATAATGGAAAACTTGAGGTCACATTTATGATGCATACGGTTTATATCAACTTCACGTCATAATAAATTTAGCGAGTAACAAAAAACAATCAAAGCACATAGTTATGTGTAAATTGAAAATCATGCATATATTATTATTGCATTGTATTACACTGATTATTTATCAAATCATGCAAAAAGTTACAAAAAGGTAGCAATACCATAAAGTACGAGGGTTGATCCAAAAGTAATGTCACTGTGTCCAATTCTTTAATATTTGGCGTCATATTATCAAATATAATGCACTAAAAGATGCATAAACATAAATCTAATCAAAATTGAAAATTTCATTTAATAATGTTCAATTGAATTCATTTTATAGATGTTTAAAACATTAAACATAGGGGGTGTCGCCGCGTCACAACTTAACGTCACGTTTTAAAGTTAATATTGTTAGAATGAAAAAAGACAAACACATTTAAAAAAGCATCTAAAAATCGTCTAATCGTCCAATATTTTTAAAGACAAAATTTACGACATTTACTAATCTGAAGTTATAAAATAAATGGCAGCATTGTTTTTTTTTTCATCATAAACAGTTTTGTTTATATCTGATGTATTGCAGAAAGGAAATGTCGAAATGGAATTAAACACAGAATCGAGTTGTAATGTATTTTTCCTTCAAAATCGGGAAATCACAAGTAGAAACAGTTATGATGGTAAAACAAACTCGCAGAGGAAAGAATGTTAACGAGAGACTTGTTCATAGATGGTTTCAGAGATTTTGGGTAATAGGTAATAGGTAATAGGTAAATAAATGATCATTTGGGGACAGAAATACCGAAAGGTAGGAGGTCAGGTGGAAACTTTCAATGGCGTCGACGTTGTCGTAAAAGAGATTAGTGGCAGTTTGAGTGATATGAGACATTTTTAAGTTTGTCTTATGGTATTGTTCAAAGAATTTTGATCAAAGATTAAAATATAGATGAAGTGTACAATTGGCGCCAATTGTTCTTAAAGAAAATGAAATACGTGAATGTTTTGTGAATATCAATTTTTTTTAAATAAAACGATGGGAAGGCGTTTTTAAAAGTGTATGACGGCGCATATCCGTTTTATGACATTATTTAGGTGCGGCGACTACCATAATCGCACTTTGTGTTTAATTCTATATTTTGAAAAGTATACATCATTTTAATTTGAATTTTTCAGGACTGATTTAAAATAAATATGGCTTCCATCATGTAAAACTTTGTTAATTTACGTCGACTAGGAGAAATTTTATCAAAGTTGTGACATTACTTTTGGATCAACCCTCGTATTTAGAAAAAAAAGTGTCAAAAATTACGCAATTAACCTTGACTTAATTAAAACAGTTGAACTGTTGATCCAGAGTAGATAATTATTATAAAAAAGAAATTAAGTATGAAACCATCTTCAATTATTAATTCTGGTGAAACAAAACTAAAAGCAGAACATTCATTTAAAACAATTTTTGGATATCTAATTCATAAAGATGGTATGAATCTGTACATTGGCAGAAAAATATAGAGTGATTGTCAGTAGGATAAACCTCAAAAGTGCAAGTGCCTAGAATACACTGCCTGAACTGAAATACGGAATATCAATTGCTTGAATGATATATAAGGAAAAAGTTTTTTCCCGCCGCTTTTATATCATAATGAATAAAAAATCATTTAAAGTCAAAAATCAGCTCCAGCATATTTTATATATATATATATATATATATATATATATATATATATATATATATATATATATATATATATATATATATATATATATATATTATTATTATTATTATTATTATTATCATTGCTACGCTCTGAAGAGCCGTAACGGTGAAAGCGCTTAGTGTAAAAAATTAAACGTAAACTTGTTTGTTTATCATGGATTTAATTTTAATCTGGAGCTAATTTTGGACTTTAAATAATTTTTTATTCATTATGACATAAAAGCGGCGGGAAAATGATTTTTCCTTATTACATGCTTTTTGCGAAATTTCGAGTACACCTAAAACGACATTAACTTCTTCCACGCATTTTTAGCGTAGAACAAAAACTCCTTCCACATACTTTGAAAGTAGAAGAGTTTTTCTCCTGTAGACGATATTTTTTTATTGTGATTCACTTTTAATGTTTAAAACATTTGGCTGTCCATGTAAACTATAATAATTTTCGTACATGGATACACTATTTTTCCCTCATAATAATTAAAATAAATGCGTAATAAAAAGGTCCTTTCCTATTATTTTGAGTTAATGATAATAGAAATTCCAGTTTGTAATTTATGATAAATCAATTTGAAAATAACTCAAAGAGTAATTGCCGGCTTATGTCATCCTGTGCAAGGCAGGAAGTCAACCCCAAAGTCGCCATTTTAAAGTTACGAGTAAAAATATAGTTTTTCTTCTCAACCGCTTTTGAGATAATACAAACGCTAAATAAAGCAACAAAAATAAAACGAAGTTTTATCTTTATAAAACTTTAGTAGTAATGACTTTGAAAACTTCAGTTCTAAGTCAAAGAACAAAGTTCATTAGCATAAGGATTTTTGAGAGGGAACCAGACTGGCCTGTTTGTTTACATTCAGCTTGGTATCAGATTAATTCTGATTCTGACAAAATCAGGATCGAAAAACTCACTGTCAGTGTCTTATCATTTATATTGATAGTTTTTAAATATTTTTTCATCAGAATATAAACGTATGATTTCTGTAAGAAATTCATTCTACTCTGTAAATGACCCCGGCTCTCTGTACTTCTGAGTACTTTGATTTATATATCTAAACAATATATAGAGATGAATTCTAAACGAACAGAACGCGTTTAAGTCTGTCTAGTTTTTGTGCATCTGATTAAATTATATGTTGAACAATAAAAATAAACAATAAAAATATATATATTATTTCAAAATCAGAAATCGATTGGCTATGACTATTGTAATTGAATGACAGCAGCTCTGTATATTTAGACAAACCTGATATAGAAAAATCATCAGGTATTTTAGCCTATTTTTTAATTTCTGATACGGGTCAATAATCTTTGAGTAAACAGACTTGTAACAGGAAGAGAAGGTATTTTGTTGATTTTATTTACATTCTTCTATTTTAAAATCTTTGTTATAATTAATGTCTGAAAGTATAGCCGCTATCGTAGAAGAAAACTTACTTGCAAATATATTACTAGTATATGACTAAACTGTTATAAATTGTTTTTTTTTTTTAAGAAAAGGAAGACTAGCTCTAGTACAAAGGACTAAAGATCAAATCCTTTAGCAATTTTTTTAATGAAATAATGAATAAATATTACAGAGAAATGGATGTTAAACTGAAAGGAAAAAAAGAGAACACTGTCAAACATAAGCCTGCGTGTGAAACTGAGGAGATAGATCAAACAACAAAACGAAAGTATACTGAAACTGAAAAGACAAATCAAACTACAAAACGAAAGTACACTGAAACTAAACATATAAAACAAACTACAAAACAAAAGTACACTGAATATGAAGATGACAACACTAATGAGGGCAGTGATAACAAACTAGGAATTATATCCAACAGACAAAGAAGTAAAAAAAATTTGAACAACAGTCAGAAGAAGGATAATTCAGCAAAACGAAGGAGAAAGAAAAGTGCAGAAGAGCCGCAATACAATTCTGGGGGAGGTTTGGTGGAAGGCAGTAAGGAATTATTTATTGGTAAGTATCGGTTTAGTAGGATTATAGATGGAAAGGTTTGAAATTCAATCAAAAGAATGATAATAATAATGTGCCTTAATGATAGTTAGTTAGATTTATTAAATTTGAAAAGTATTTTTAAACAAAGGTAGTTTATTTTTTTTTACTTTATTTTCATTTATTTCATTTTTTTAGTTGCAGGTCCCAGCAGAGATCGTACTCACCAATGTTCGACCATTCAAACACACCCGAAAATTAAGAATCCACCACCCGCTCCACCCCCTCCACAAAGTGGTACCAGATACTTTGATCTAGACGCCAACTGCATCAATAACCAATTCTTAGCATAGAAAAAATGAACTTTCTTGGTCTTAACAAAAAAAGACGTTCTTTGTAAATGTAAAATATAATTATTGGAAGAGAAGGAATGTTAGAGTTACGATATAAAATATTGAATGGATTAAAATCTGTCTTATTAAATAAATTATGAGTATGATAAATATTAAAAACTTTTTAATTAATCACCAAATGATTAATTCCGCAGTTTCATGGTATTTTAAGGATAACATTTAATTATATGAGACAAATGTAAAATTGTTTAAAAGGCCTTGATATTTAGTAGTTTAAATTATTTATTAATACTGCCTGTATATTTCGGATTAATGACATCTTATAGAGGAATAAATTCACTTTTTTTTTTATCTCATTATAAGAATAAGGATCACTAGCATTAATATTTGTTTGAGGCGGTTTATAAAAAGGCGTAAATTGTTCAAACCAAGATTATACCATATACCTTGGGTAGCAATTAAATTCAGGTGTAAACTGTTCCAACCCAAGTTATGTCATAAATAATATTTCATATAGATTTATTAATTTTCTTCATTCAAATATGACATTTAATATTAAACCTTCTAAATGTAACGCCAAGCGGATCGATACATTTTTTGAGGCAAGATATATAAGAAATTATTATCAAACTTCTTTCTACTTATGTATACAATCACAATGGTTTTAACAAACAAAGAGCCATAGCGCATTTGATAGTCACTTTCGCCTACTCTAGTAGTGATTTTTTAAATACATTGTTTAACCAAATGTTGTCATACAACGTTAGTTTATACATGCCTTAAAACAAATCACACAAAAATAATAATCAAATATTAATGGTTCCCTCAGGTTTTGTTATATTTAAATTTTCAAGTTGATCAATAAGATCTTCAGTTGAAAAACTAATAGAATAAACAGAATAAGTAGGGTTAGGTCCTTGAGGAGGCAGTTCGGGTTCTCTGCAATGCATGTTCAGTCTGCGAAATTTCAGCAAAATGTTTATAAAGTTGAGTAGCCTTATCAGTAGGATCGATAAATGTTTTACCATTAGATTTTACTGGTGGGGGTATTTTATTTCTAATAGCAAATGTGGAGGAATAGTTTTAGCTAAAATTTGTGATGTATTTTTTTGTTTGTAAGTATTCTTTGCCCGGTGAACCATTGCTATAACTTAATTTCTTAGACTCCGATATTTAGTCCACTGATAATCATCATCAGTCTTTTTGCCTTACGATGTACACTATTTCTTTGTAGCATTTACGTCTGATAGCATTTGTCATAAAAGGTTTATCAGATGGCCGAATTACGAGTTTTTTGGGGGGGGTTTTTTTGGGGGGGGATATATTGTTGTCTCTATAGTAATTTTATATTCTGGTAAGAAAGAATTGTAAACTTCATTGATATTTTGATTATTGAAAACGTCTTCATCCCAATCCACCTCTGAAAGATTTTGCCAGTATCTATGTAGTCTAAAAACAAACAAAAATTCAAAAAATAAATTAAAAATATTCGTTATTGAGTAAAATCTTTAAGTAAAAAGTCAAAAAACAGTTCGTATTTTAATTCAAGAAGAATTATAAAAATAGATTTACCTTTGATTATTTAAAAAGGCAACCATGAATTAAATTTGTCATGCATTTCCGGATTGTAAGTAAGTAATGATGTGCATTTTTTAATTACCTTAACACATTGAGGATTATGTTAACAAGTACTTATGCGTTCCGTAAATTCTGCCTCTAAGGTGCGCGAATGTTTTAATTCATTAATTAATTGCATTATTCGTGTTTGAAAATATACATGGAAAATTTTGTCATTTTCTTCCTAGTAATGAATCTTGCAAATTATTCAGGGAATTTCTATGAAAGCATTAGAAATCTTCTGAAAGGAAAATCCCAAAAAATTTTTCATTTTCTATTCGTAATTAAATTAAATATTACTGAAAAGATTTTTTGCATTTTTTCTATATTTTTATTTAGCCGTGTAATCAATTAAATGAAAGGAATACAAGTGATTTCTAAGTTAGAGCTTTAAATGAATTTTTAAAAGAGAATGGCATGTTTTTTTTTTGTTTTTTTTTTCGCTTATTTAAGCTCTTAATTTGCAAGTAAGAAAAATAAATCTATAATGTATTGCTTAAATTTTGATCTGCTTCTAGTTTGCATTGTTTAATGAAATTTTAAGCTTGAATACCGCTCGTTATATTCATACAATTCCTTTAATATATATAGAAATTAAAGACATTTTACAAAAATTGGTATTCAAGAAAAATATGATGTTATATACAATATATTCATTACTCGCCATCCTTTCTTATTTTACGGCCTAACTTAATCAGTTATAGTATAAATACTAACTTAATGTTAACGCTCAGGGTGATCGACCGATAATAATATTAATATAATTATCTTTTTAAAAGATTATTTTAAATTCACAGAAGCAAAATATCACAGCTGTTGCCTTTGATTTTGAATCGTTATTGTTTAATTAATAAACTTAAAACTTAAAGTTAATTTGCAATTTTTTGTTCATAATTGTCGTTAATAATGTTGTCATGGGAAAGTTAATTCTTAAACAAAGTTAGTAATGGGAACATAAATACTAACATAATGCTAACGCTATGTTATTACTTGTTTATATAGAAAGGACGTTCTGAATGACATAAATTAGATTGACCAAGGGGTTTCCCCGCAGTATCATGGGGCACGGGTTAAAAATAAGTTCCGGTCTGGGACATGCCGAGTGTAAACTTGGTAGTAGTACTGTTGTCCTGTTGAGAAATGACTTTTCAGTGCAACTTATTTACATCTAATGTTGACATCCGTGATGTTACCGCATAAATAATCATCGCTTGGAAAATAAGAATCAGACTTACTTCAATCGGGAGTTCAATGCATCAAACTCACTAGTATGATTCAGACATTATTATTTTATTTTTTATATTTATCTGCGACAGTGACAGTTTTGCAGGGGACATCTATTTATTCTAGATATATGTACAGAAACCGACACACAGGGAACTGCAGGGAGGAAAACTGTGATTTGGCTCACTTCAGTTACAACAGAGACAGCTGTCAAGGTGAGATATTCTTACAATAATGATGAGGGTCTTAAAAGATATACCTTCCTATTTCTTTTCCCAAAAATCTGAAAGAGAAAAGAGTACTTAACTTTCCTTTTGATATTCTCTTTCATTTCTGTTTTCTTGAATTAGTTGCAAGGATTCACTTTTAAAAACTATTAATTCATATAAGATATTATCTTTTTTACAGTGATTTCTCAATTTCAAATGACATTTTTAAAAAAATATTTTCATTAAAAAAATATCTGGAATTAAAAAATAATGGAATAAATTGCTTCACCGCTTTAAGATTTTTCCCCATACATTTGATTTTAAATCTAAACAAGATTTTTGCTAAAATAATATATATTTGCTATGCACAGGTCCAAATTTTTGGGATCGGGTCACACCATGCTGGGGCAACTGTTCTTCTCTTCTTCAGTCACCAATAAATATCAACACAGAGAAAACAACTTATCGGCCTTTCAGAGGACTTAAGTTCTTAGACCTTTGTGAGCACATCACTGCCATAATTAGGAATAATGGTGAGTTACATTTTGTACTAAGGATACTTCATAGAAAAACGACAGAGAAATGGCCATTATCATTTTTTTTACCTTTGATAAATATATTGGTTTTATTCGAAATTTTATTGATCGAAAGGTTTTTTGTGTTGAAATCATTGCCGCAATTGACTTGAAGCGATACAGAAATAGGTAGCAATCGTTCTTTCGTCAAGCGCTCGGAACTCTGAAGTGGAATTTGTGGGTCATTCCTAAGAGAACCTAGGTCCCTTGTCACGGTAGGCGTTGGCACGAAAAGGGCCCCTCACTGCTTAATGACCCTGAGTAGCGAATAAAAGCCAAACTTTGAAGCCCTTCACTCTATACAAAGTGACGTCTTCATATGAGTGAAAAAAGTCTCAAACTGATACGAAAACAAGATACATCAATAATGAAACATATGGAGATTACGAACAGTATTCAAGATCAAAAGTACTTAAAACAATACAAATTGAGAACAGAGCAAACACGGACCTCCGAAACATCAGAGGTGGGATCAGGTGCCATGGAGGAGTGAGCATCCTCTGCTGACCAGTCACACCAGCCGTGTGCTCCTTGTAATGACCTTGAAATAACGGAAAAATCCGTCGTCGATTTAGTGTATAAAAATGGACTAACAATTACTATGTAAAACGTCAGTCAGAATTTGACTTCACTGACAAGGTCATTGTATAGACCATAGAACTTAGGAAATGATTGCTTTAAACGAGACTGATGATATTCTTGTTTCATAATATTCGTAATATCCTTGGTTCATGAATAAAATACATTTCTTTGCATGCAATGATCTGTGAAATAATTATGGAATGAAGCTTATTTCAACTTATATTATACGATATAAAATAACGTGGGGCAGTTTACGCTTTATAAACTTGAAGCGTAAACTGTCCCAAGTTTTGTTATATCGTATAATATAAGTTGAAATAAGCTTCATTCCTTATAATTTAATTTCAGTGAAGACATGAGACAATTTTTCCCAAAGGTTAAGGCTTCACATTGATTAAATTTTTAAATAACGTCACGGGAGTGATACGTTTTTTGACGTAACTCATTGTGACGTAGGCAAGTTATTTAATACAAAATGGATTGATTCTTTTATCCAATCAAATGACGTAATACAAGTAAAATTAAATTATTTAAGGAATGAAGCTTTTTTAACTTATGTTATCCGATATAACATAACTGGGGCAGTTTACGCTTTTTTATAAACCGCTTATAACGGATAACATAAGTTGAAATAGCTTCATTCCTTATAATTTGATTTCAGTGTAGACAATAAGACAATATTTCTTCCGGAAAAAGGTTTCAAATTGAGCGTTATTTTAAAAGTAACCTTAAGCGGAGTAATACGCTTTTGACGTAACTCATTGTGACGTAGGCAAGTTATGTTATACAAAATATTAAATGTTCCTCTGAATGATTCAGCCAATGAAATGTCTTGATACAAGTGAAATTAAATTATTTGAAAATAAATACAGTTATTTGCTTTTATTCATATATAATTCACAAGAGAAACATTTCTTTCCAACCTTAAGGTAAGTCACTCCTGAAATTTGTTATATCAAGGATTTTTTGAGAAGTATATTTTGGATAAGTACTCATAAAGTGTAACTCAAAAAAGCAAAGAAAATAGGGGGTCAGTGTGCATCCTACTGATCTACGGTACATTTAAGTTGACCTTTTTGCACTTAAATTTCATCTCTTTGGTTAATTACTTTAACCCTTATTATATTTGATTAGATGTAAGCATGGCAATAAATATAATCATATTTTACGTAAAATAGTTGGAATAATATTTATCATTAAACAAATCTTGCAAATTAATGTGCGTAAATTATTGTGTGACCTTTTTGCACTAAAAAAATAACATATTTGGGGTATTAAAAAACTTAATAGGCAATAAAAATTTTTTTTATATCAAACTTTTTATGACTTGAGTGCTGATCAGTCACAAGTATTGAGTAGTTTAAAATAATGAAAGAAAAAAGTGGGGTCAGTGATGTTAATTTTGAAATATTTGTCAAAATATGTGATTTTCAGGCATAAAATGGTGTAAATTTGATCTTGACTTCTTTAATATATTTTCATTTTTTGGAAAAGTTTGTTGAGGGAAGGTGTAAAACTTGGTCTTAAAATATAAATTAAGACCTATATTAAATATTCTTAGCAATTTCAAAACGGAAAATATTCTCCGAGTAAAATTATGTGAGGCTAAATTTCCATTACATTAAATTTTATAAATGTGCAGATTTGCAGAATTTTCTGCTAAATATCCTTCCATCAAAAGAAATAGTCCCTCATAAATCTTGCTTCTTTGTAGATTTTTGAGCAGTTTTTTCATTGAATGTTAAAAAATTTACATTGTTGAATTTAAATATGTTATAAAAATTGAATTTTAATAAGTAGTTTTGAAGTAAAGGCTTCTGCGTGAACTTTTTCTAAAAAGCTGACGAGTGACTTACCTTAAAATAAAGATAGAATAAGGTGAGATCTTGAAAAAAAAGAGGGGAACAACTGAAAAAAAAATTTCCGGACCAAGAACAAAATGTAAAAAGCAAGTCAACATTTTGTGACACGTGAAAGCGGAGAATTAGGGCATTGTGTCAGTAGAAGGAAACAGCTGTAAATCAGCTCTTTATAGGAAATCACCTGTTATAGTCTCATAAACAGTGTTTATTTATTTTTTTTTGTCTAGGACACTCGCCACACTTTATGGCTGATAATCCGACAAAGGTCAAACTGGGGAATGTCCCGTACAGCGGAAATAAAGGTTATGTCTTCCAGGAAGTTCATATACACCTGGGACAGAGGGAGACTCGGGGGTCAGAACATTCACTGAACAACAGGTTTTACCCTATGGAGGTAATTAAAAATACAGGGGATCGGAGATCTATTCACTATACAACAAGTTTATCCAAAACAGAAAAAATGAAGAAAAAAATCTACCAGTAATAACTTTTGGTGCAAAAAAGTAAACATTTTTTTCTTGGCATGGGCATAACATCATTGGCAAAAGTGTTGATTTTTTTTCTTACTGTCTAGGGAAAAGATGGTGATCTTGAGCTGATTTCATTATTTTAAAATAAAGAAATACGAGAAGAATCTTTATTTAATGGAAAGGAATACGCCTTTTATGAAAATTTTACCGAATCCCGTAGAAAACTTAATTCATGTTCTTGATTGCTTTAGGCTCCTTAAATGAACCAAACTCCTTTTTACGTTCATTTCAACCAGGTGTTACAGCATATACTGTATAAATAATTTGACACTCACCAACTTATTGATCGAACAAATTCAAATATTATCTTTTTATATATTTTTTTTCTGATCGTAGGCCCACATGGTCTTTTACGACGATCGCTATGAGAATATTGAGGAGGCACAGACCAAACCCGGGGGATTGGCAGTCATTGCAATCATGGTGGAGGTAAATATTCCGAAAATTTAAAATTAATCTACATTTGTTTCCAACCTGACATTTGGTCGTATTTTTTTTGTTTAATACCAATTTTTATGTGGGCACTTCTTTTATTTTTTAAATTTGACTACAGAATGTTCTGTAGATCTAATCAATACACTTGGTTCATTGACCAGCCAACAATGGATGATTATTTCTCCTTGGCACCTGATCCCACCTTTGGTGTTTCTTAGGATCCGTGTTTATGTCCTGTTCACGGATTTGAATTGTTTATAGATTTCTTAAGATCGATAGCTGTTTGTTGTCTTCGCCTTTTTCATACAAAAAAGCAAAATCAAGGATGAAAATTTTTAAAATGTTTATGGACCTCAATCTTAAATGATATTTCAAGTACATTCAATAATATTATATCATAAATGAAACAAAAATCAAGTTTCATCATGGAATTAAATTCGCTGTGTTTATGGAAATATTATTCCTCAGCAATTTTAAAATAAAATATAATTTCACATACATATAAGAACTTAGGTTAATTTGTCATATGGTATCAAAGTGTTCGGAACCTATACATCATATGTGTATCAATGTCAATATTTTACCATTTAAAAGGGTCATCTTGAATTGCTTGTGATATGAAATGTCGGAATGTCGTTTATTTATTGTCCTCCGGTACACTAAAGTCGACATTGCTTTGCATTAATGTAGAAAATCATTAAATGATCGTCCATTGTTAATAATTTACATTATTTATTATACAATATAACTGTGATATAGACACAACAGAAAGACTAGCTAGACCCTTTGACACTGCAATGGAATGAAATGTATAATAAAAATAAAATAAAATAAATAAAATGCAATGATGAAGTAAATGTGAATGTGTACTTCTGAATCATTTAATTTTTTTCTGAATATAAACATTTTTATCTCTTTAATCTACTTGCATTAAAATATACATTTAATATAAAAGGATGGACTTAATTTTCTTCTCTACTTTTTTAGATTGAAGAGAAATCAAAGGTAATTATTTTTAATGAAGTTTTCATAAGCTTTATGTAAACTGCTTTTATTTACCTTTAACGATTGATGTAAACATATTTAATTAATGATTATATTATAATAATAGTAATAATATATATATAATTGGCTTTCACTTATAAAAAAAACTGAGAATTAAGCAACAGACTAGAAAGCAAAGAAAACGCAAATTCAATTCTTAAATGTTTTAAATATATTCTCTTTAACAGGCTAATAGGACAAAATATTTTGTTATGTCCTTTTAGTTTACAAGTCCGAAAATGGATTTCTATAGAAACTCTTACTTTCCATTCGGACGTCGATTTCACAGACAAAAAAGACGAGCCCCATGGCGAGGGACTTCCTGTTCAGACACTAGCGTCTGCAGGACAAAGAGTGCCAAGCGTCTAAGTTACTTAATGGAGAAATACTACACAATTATTAGAAATCACAAACCAGAGAGAAACGCAGGTTTGACTTTGATTCAATTATAAGAGCGAAGCGTAGTTTTCAACACATGCAAAAACTTTTAAACATAGACTTAAGGTGAAAGGATGAATAGAATTCTGAGAAAGTGTCGTTATATTATAGCTTGAAGTCATCTCGTTTGTCGGCGATTTTGCTTTCATTTTTTTGCCGACAAACAAGAAGACTTCATATCTGGAAGGCCACCAAAAAGTTTAATTCTTGACAAACTATATGACTTTTCCGTCGTCAAGTATTTCAATCCATAAATATTCTGCCATAGCTTATTTGATATTTATGTCTCCTAACTTATTCGATACCCAAGAATTTGCTCTGAGTTCGATCAATTTTTAAACAGAGTCAGACTAATCACACATAAGTTGATGTTACAGGGATTTCCTTCATCGAGTTTAAAGTTTGCATTTTGTAAATTCTATAGTCGTTTTAAATGACCTTATTACCAAATATAGCTGATGAATCGGTCGTATCTTTGCTGACTTCTTTCAAACGAATTGTAAGACTTTTGTTTTTAATTTACTAAAATTGACTAAGGAGCGTTTTGTCTACCTGATCGAAACGTAGGGCTCACTGTGAAATGACTGTTCAACAGGGGCACTTACCTATATAAGCACCTGATCCTGTCTCTGGAATTTTCCATTTCATATATTTGTTATGCCATCATTTATTCATTGTAAGGCAATTATTTACAAACTGAAATGTCTACGGATTATTTCTGTGATATACCTATTATGACAAGGGGCAGACGGTAGGTGTGGCCGGTCAGCAGGGGATATTTACTCCACCATGGCACCTGATCCCACGCCAATGAAATGTCCGTGTTCGCTTTGATTTAGGACATTTGAGCTTGAACAATGATCATTATCTCTATACAATTAAATACAAATTTGTATTAAAGTTCTAATGAGATCGATTGTTAAGAAAAATCAAATTAATTCATGTGTATTTTCACAGGATTTTAATGTTTACATAAAAGGATTAAGATAAGAAACATCAAATGTTTGAAAATAAAGTCTTTACACGCTGCTTTACAAATTTCCATAAAATATTTGCTTTTAAGTACTACGAGAAAATGTGTTTTGAAACATAATATTCTTTGCCTTTTTATATATCTGAATTCTCTACAAATTACATCCAAATGTTTCATTTTGTCATTTTCTGTATTGAAGAAAGAATAGAAAATACCTATGTAGAAGTTCGAGAACAGATATCGTTAAGTGACGTTCTGCCCTATGACTGGAGTTTCTATACATACCACGGTTCATTGACTACACCACCTTGTTATGAAACGGTTCAGTGGATCGTAATGAGATGTCCCATTAAAGTGTCCAGACAGGTAACGATATGTACATCAAAATGTTTTATTTTATCATATATTGCCAATACATCTGTTATTCTTTGATCGAGAGTGCATTTGACTTTTCGAAAAGCTTGGTACAATTCAATATTTAGAACATGTAGTTATGTGAACTTTAAAAATGTACTGAGGTATTTATTCCATGCGTATTTGTTGGATATCGAATTATGGAGAAATTTAGTATAGCTTGATGATTAGGTTGCTTCTAATATGAAATATATTTACAATATCGATTAAACAATATGAACTAGACATGAATGAAATAAAAAGTCAATAAATTCAAAATAAGATCAGTTTCACCTAGTCAAACTATTCGGAATAAGAAAAACAAGAACCAAAATCGTACTTTTCTAAATCTTCTGTTTTAATTTTCAGGCCTACGAAGCACTAGGTAATGTCTCGGATATCCATGGCAACAGACTTAAAACTATGGGAATTCGGAGGCTTATACAGAGAGGAATCATAGACCATCCCAGTGTAGAAGTAGAACGTAACTTCCGGTGTGGCTCTCTGGGTAACAGACGAGATCTCTGTCCAATCAATTATGATGCTTACTAGAGCCATACCTCATCTTAATAGCTTGTGTGAAATACAGAATCAAATTATTCAATTTATTTTCATAACAAACTTGTGAGAGAGAAAAAAATGTTGTATCCTCATAAATTTGAAATATCATAACGGTTTTATGCACAATATTGACTTTTAATTCAGCAATTTAGCGTTGACAACTGGTATGTTATAGGTAAATTTAGTGTAATCCTTTAGGGCAGCTTTGTTTTACTGGAATTCTTCATGTCATTCATATGAATCAGCTTTCCTGTATGCTCATATTTTTCGAATGTTGAGTTATTATGTATATTTATTGACTATAAATAACAGAAATTATATAAATGAATCATGACATTTTCATTTTTAGCATATAACAGTATGTAAAGTCGCTATACTGTAGTATCATATTAATTATACGGTTTATAGAATTTTATTTACACCAAACTTCAAAGTAATTTTCTTCAGACCGTCAGTGAACACAGCACAGTTTTAAATATAATGTTAAAAACATGGTTGTGATAGTCGATCGACGCCAGATATGCAAAAAAAACAAGCAAATATTTTACAATGGCGTTGGGGTGTGTTTCTGGTTTATACTGAGGGGAAATTATGTACAAGTAGCAATGCATTCTTTGATTCTTGGATTTTGTTCGTTATTTTATGATCATGAGAGGGCCACACGGTGAGTTTGACTGGTCAGCAGGGAATGCTCACTCCTCCATTACACCTGATTCCACCTGTGATGTTTTGGAGGTTCATGTTTGCCCCGGTCCTATTTTGTAATGGCCTTTTGAGCTTGAATACTGTTCGTTATCTCCACACATTTCATTATATTCTTGAAAAAAGGGTAATTTTTAAGAAAAATATTACTAACACTAGAGCCGAGCTCGTTGCAAAACAACGAATAGGTCTTCCGTTGGAGCTACGAACTAGAAGACGTAACCTTGAGCCGAGGTCAAAGGCCACATACTAGAGATATACAAATAAAAAACCTTGTAAGAGAAGCAACTTACAATGTTTTGCTAGGAAAAAGACTGTAAAGGAATACTTGTATGTGTGACCTTGATCTTTTCAAATGACCTTGTGCTAAGCAATAACTAACTCTCGTTAGAGTTAAAATTGAGATAAAAAGAGTTAGGTCAAGGTCGAAAGAAAGGCCAAGTTCAAAAATGGTGATGCCATTAAATAGCTATCATCAATATGCATCAACATGTGAAGTTTGATAACACCATTTTAAATGGTATATTTAAAGTTGAGCTAAACACTAATTTAAGAAAAGTGAGGTATATACATGTACATGTATATAAAGTCAAGTTTAAAAAAATCCTAATGCAATTGCATAACTCTAATTAATTTCTTTCAGTATATAAAGATTGATAAAAATATCTTGGATAGTTTGTTTGAAACTGAGCTTTGAACTGAGCTAAAGGCAAAGTGTGACAGAAGGAGAGACGGAAGGACAGAAAGTGGGAAGGATGGAAGACGTCCGACAAACAGCAAATGCCTTGGCCATATTCATGGCGGTGCATAACATGTCATGTATGATTATTGGTTTACATAAAAATAGGTCGTAACTTTCAGTCTCGGAATTCAACCCTTAAACTAATGTATACATGCATGTACAAAAACAAATCAACCGACTGACATTCTCTGCTTAGAAGTTAGACATTGTATTCATTTTAAGGGATGGGGTAATTATAGTGAATAGGGAGAGGAATTTAACAACCTGTCAGTCAATGAAACATTATTTTGGAATGTCTGTATACAGCTGCGTGGCTTTTCTTAGAATGAAATGAGTATTTTTTTGAAATATTTAAATAATTCTTTTGTTGACGACGTGATATATTTGATAGGCTGTATAATAGCTGTTCGGATATTGTGCCGTTTGAAGGTCCAAAACCTTTCTTTTAATATAACCAAAGGTTCTAGTGATCTTTTTTCTGTAAAGTCGAAATGCATGGGAGAAAGAAAGAAACGTATGGGGAAGTTCAAAAACAAATTTATGAGTTGTGTTTTTCATCTATACAGACGCTTTTTTTCTTCTGGTTTTCCTTTTTTGTGAATTGCCGTTTATTTTGTTTACAAGCTTGTGTTCATACCGCTGTTCATACGCGCTATCAATGTGAGAGGAGAAAACAAGACGTCGTCAAGCAACAATGACTGACCAGATGGACGTTTATATACATTGTAATCATTATACAACCAAATATCAGAGCAAATCGATAATTTAAGTACCAAGTTAAATACATTGGAATTCAATAATGAAGGAAAGAATTTAATTTATATTTTATGATAAATAGGCAATAACGAATTTTCTAATTTAATTTGTAAAATCGTACTCTGAAAGTTCTGGATGTATATGTTTGATCGCTCTTCTATGTAAAAGTCATACATATAAAACATGTAATTATTATCGGCTGCGGTAGCGGCCAATCTTTTTGTGATTGTGTTAGAGTGCACATGGGGAAATGACACTTATTTTTATTACGTCAATAAAATAATTCGTAGATTATAACAAGTAAATCATGCGTAAAATATTTTGAAAACTTGATTTAAACTTAAAATTTAATGTTGAAATATATTTCAATTTCATTGCCATTAATATCTCATGATTATCGATAATTAATGGTCATAAAAAAGAGTTCGTATCAGATACTCCTCATCCTGAGAGTATGTAAGATTTGAAAAGAAATATCTTGATTTTCCGGATAATGATGATGTGGTTAAAGTGCATGGTGAATAAAAAAATGAGGAGTTATTCAACTTCTAGTGAAAATTGTTTTGAACTTACTCTACATCTACAAATGACACAAAGATCATGAAGATTTTTTTTTTATTTTGCACCATAGTCTGCTCTGCAGAAACCATGAGCATTATCTCCTAATCAAGATCCAGGGTATCGAGGCTCGGACAGGCCTACACCTTCATTTTGATGACAATAAATTTTTCTTATACATCAATGAAATTTTTTTTTAAACATCTATAAATCTATTTATGAGCAAATGCGGTAAAATTACTTTTTATTTTGCTTTGAAAACAGCCTGAAAAAAAATTGAAAAACTATTTCAGCTTAGAATGTCTTGACGTGCTTTTCTTGCATGTGAAAGATTTTTTTTGCTTTGCAGCCAATTTGATGCTTTGCATCAATTAAATTCGTACTGATAATTATACACGTAAAGGCATGTAAAATATTCTTTTATTGGACGAAATAGTATACCATTCTGTACAATATCATTTTAAGTTTATTAGCAATTAACTGCAAACTCGAAAGTGCTAAATTTCATGTTGGATTTCCTCCGGTGAATTAGAAACGTTAACTCCACTTACAATTATCATGCATGCGTACATGTAATTTAAGATACATAAAACAATTACCACTTTGATAAATACAGGAAAAAACGGTGTAAACCTAGCTCGTGTTTTTTTTCCGGCTATCAAAAGGCATAAAACTTTAAATGAATAAATGCACAAGCGATTACGACTGATTAAAACAAGCTGAAATAGAGTGAAATTGAATGATATGAAAGGAATCGACATGATTTCAAACCCAATTTTCCATTTGTAACTATATCGGAATACACAACGGATTCTCAAATCGACATACCGGCTGCTATCTGCGGACACGTGCTTGTAAATGAGGAATGGGCTACAAAATTTTAGACACAAAGTGACTAAGCTGGATGTAAACTGTTTATTACAAATACGTGAATAATAGTAATTATTTTAAAGTATTTCTTTTTAACTTTCAATGTTTATGTATATTAATAAGAATAATGGAGAAACAAAAGAGTGATGGTAAAAATAAAACGTACATAATAGTACATTACGTATCACAAGACTTCCATCACTAATTATAATTATTTGCCGAAGCCCCTTTTCAATTACAATTTAAATACATTAACACGGAATAAAGAAATAATTTTGCGTGAACAGGCCATGCACATAAAGCGATCACAATTAATTCAAAATGATTAATGCACCAGTGTTTCGAATTACGATTAAATGAGAGATCGGTGAAGTATTATTATTGATTCGATAAATTAAAAACATGATTTCTATAAATTGATAGGTCTTTGTACACAATGGATTTTAAACACGATCATTGACACTTGCATTGTTTACGACAGGTGGCTGGTACACTAGTGACCTAGATAGACAGCGTGGGATTTGCGCGTTGGATTACATAACATCTAGGCGATCTTGGAGATCGCCAAATATATACAACTAATGATCGTGAATTATTCAATGCATAAAGTTAAAATAACTTAAAATTGTTATAAAAATCAATGTAGAAAGATAGATTTAATATATTCCTTTTATGAAGACGTGTTCACTGTAAAACTAATTAATAATAAATAAAAAAGAAAGACAAATCGTTATAAATAATTTAATAGTGAACCGTAGAGCATGTATGAAGCCCTATTTAGAAGAAAATTAACGACTAAAAAAATTAAGTTAAATACCATAGGATTTATTACTGATAAGAAGTTTGTGTAAATTATACACATGAAGAGGTCTGATTTCCTTTCCGAATGAAAAAACGCTATCCGTTACCTGGCCTGCTTTCAATTACATATTACGCAATACCCCAGTATAATCGAACACAAAACATTTTCATCAGATTAAAAAGGTGTCAAAGAACAATTTTGTCCGTATTATTCAGATCGAAATATGTACCGTTTTTGAGTTATGAAGCAAAAACTTTCAAGGTCCCTAAATCCTTAATCATAGGGGCCAGCCCCTTTTGAATAGAATTATATGAAAGCTCTTGCAATTATGCACAACTTTTGTTCAATATGTCTTAACAAAATATTTTTAGTTTTCAAAATAAAAAGTAAAATATTTGTAAATTTTCGCTCTTTTAGGCGTTCTCCTTTTTGACCCCTGTATAGCGCCATTTTGAATAGAGAAATCGGAAAACAAAAACCGATGTGCACAACTTCAATCCTTCTGTTATCTAAAACCAGTAAAATTTCTGCTCCAGCTGTAGTGGTCTCTGAGCCTTTGTCTGGAAATGAAAGCCTATAATTTTTCGTTTAAAGGGAAATAACTCAAAACCGGAAGTGACTTTTTGAAATTATCGACAGCATTCTGATAGAGTTTATTACCGTCTATAATGTCTGAAAATTTAAACAAAATCCATTGAAAAATGAGTGAGAAACGAGGCCTCAAAGTTGGCGTCTAGGAAGATAAAAAAAAAAGAATAATAAGAATAATCTTAATCTTCAGAATCAGTAGAAGGTCTTCCGTTGGAAACGGAAGACCTTAAAAATTGCATATCAAAATACTAAATACAATGAATATTCAGTCAAACGATATAAGTCAGAAGCAGGTGGGATCAGGTGCCATGGAGGAGGAAGCGATCCATACCGACCGGTCACAATCACCGTTTGCTCCATGTTACGATCGAAGAAAAACATTAACCCATAGACAATTTAGTGTGTGTAACTAATGGCCTCATAATACGTATGAAAACTGTAGTACTGAAAATGACATAAAGATAGATTCCTAACTAGGTCATTAAATTAATTGTGGAACTTGCAAAAAGATTACTTTTAACGATTTTGTTGATATTCTTGTTTCATCAACTTGTTCGTCAACGGCTTAATTTGTTTTAGCAATGTTTTTACATAGAACATGTTCTGCAAATCAACTTAACTGAGAGACATAAACCCCATATGCTGGTGTTTAGAGAATATTGCTAAGTAAGGATATTTAAAGTCATCGCGTTTATCATAACACTTTACTGTGTACTACCATTTACGTCCTTTTAAGAGGAAAATATACATTATTATTAGGGATGTCAACGAATAGTCGACTATTCGAGTGTCAGTCGAATGGACCGACGATCGAATAATGAAACAACATTCGAATATTAAATAAATGCAAAAAAAATGGGATAATGAAATTTTCATCTCAGAATGGAAAAAGGGTCCTTCCTCAAACCATACAGCTGTATAGTGCACGTCCTCAGCCGAATAAGGACGTGCACTATACGGCTAATTTTCCACATTGTACATAATGAAAATACAGTAAATACATACCGCAATAATTCTTTCTTAATCACTGACTTTGTTGTTATTGTACGTAGTAAATTATGCAACGCTATACTGGACTATAAAAATTATTTAATTGACTTGTACCAATTATATTTATAAACTCTAGGAATTACAAATTCTTAGGAACACACAGTATTTGCATAGTCGTGAAGTTTAAAAGTTCGATAACTATTAAACAATAATCTTACACAAAAGACATTTTGATATAATAGTGCTTGGGCAATCATTAATTGCATGAACAAACAGTATTAAATATTTTCATAGAAGGTGTGAAAAGTGAGTGTTTACAATTCCTAATTTCAAATTAATTTCAATTTTCCAATTTATTTTAATTGATAAGCTTTAAAAAACACTGTGCTATAAAAAAAAAATAATTAATGCTCCGAATAGTCGACTATCGTTCCAATAATGCAATCGAATGTTCGACTAAGGGAAATTAATATTTTGACATCCCTAATTATTATACAAAGTAAAAGTCAGAAAAAAGTCGTAAAATTTTAAAATCTTTATGGTCAATATAATGACCTTGTCAACAAATATCATCTATTATGATTTCATATTCCTCTAAATGTTAGGTCATTTATGTATACGAGGAAAATTTCGCATCTGTTTTATTTTCGCCCCTTTCGTCCTACACTCATCTGGGCGAATCTAAAAAAAAATGTCTGCAAGTGTAAACGGGCGAAAATAACACGGGGCGAAAGTAACCCTATATACAGTATTTACACGCGGAATACAGATGTTTCCTTTATTTTAAAGAGCAAACCAAGTGTGCTTGGAGCAGGGAATACTAACTCCTCCAAGATACCTTATCACACCACTGATATTTAAAAGTCTGTGTTTCTTCTGTTCCTACTTCTCTGTTTAAAGGGACTTTTGAGCTCCATATATTTATATAAACAATATAGCCAAAATATAAACAAACTGTAGTTTATCAATGATAAGAAATGAAATGTATGGAGATAGATTTAAAGACCATTAATTATAAACAAAACAAAATAGGAGCAGAGTAAGTGCGAACCTCATAAATAACAGAGGTGAGACTGAGTGCCATGGAGGAGTTAGCATTCCGTGCCGACAGGTCACACCCGCCTTGTGCTTCTTGTCATGATCGGGAAATAACAGAAAACCCGTCGTCAATTCAGTGTGTAAATAATGACAATTAAGTATGAAAAATGTTAGTCAGCACTTGACTCAATCATAAATTGTATTTGCTGACAAGGTCATTATATCGATCAAAGACCTAACGAAATGATGACTTTAAATGAGACAACTGATATTCTTGTTTCATTAAATTGTTTTTGAATAAGTATCCTCCTGTTAGAGATCGTAGATTGTAAACGTAGAGCATGCTCTTGTGTATCAAATCAACTGATATAAACCCTGTATGCAGGTGATGAAGGTATATTGCTGCATAAATAGGGGAAGTTGTCGAAAGAAAAGTTAAAGTCATCACGTTTATCATAGAGCTTGGTTGTTAGATTACCATTAACATCTTTAAAAGTAAAATAGCCAAATATGAACCAGATGTGTCAGACTGTGTGGTATCTTTTTTTTCTCAAGCTCACTGGAATATATCGTACCGACATAAGAATGGAAATTTTCATTTACCATTTTAAATTAACAATACTTCAAATCATTATAAAGTTAGAAAGTCACATAAAGTTTCTATACCTATCTTTCAATAGATAATTACAAGATTGATTGCTCGATTAATTCATCGTATGTTGATTTGCGTCACGTTCGAGAACGCTAATTTCAAGAAAATATGTTAGTAATGAAATTGATATCCATTCCGTGTACCTCAAAGCTTTTCCTCAAATCGTTTAGAAAAATGCAATAATGTCTGCCTAGACAGGTTTTTGCTTCTCAGAGGTGTAATCTACATAGCATATAAAACTTAAGTGTTTTAGACAAGGGAGGAAACTTTTAATTACTTTGAATAAAACATTGTTACAGGAATCATTGAAGAAAACTCTTGGTAACACTTCTTATAACATGTTTTTTTACATAAGATATTTTCACCTTCGTTTTTAAATTTTCGATGCTGATATTGCTATTTTTCATTCAACATGCAATACAAATGATTTAAATGATGTGTTAACCTACATGCATGGTATTTTTCAACTTTATTAAATTAATGTATATAATTGGACTCGAAAACGAAAATTCATGTAAATTCTAGAATGATGAAAATCAAGAGAACACAAATATGTTAATTGATACATATCCTCATCATTATATGCATGAAAAGTATTATTTTAGTGTGTCAAATATAAAGGGGGAACTTAATGCAGTATACATGTATGAATTATAAGTATCGATTCGAACGTTTCATATAAATTAATAAATCTGCGGTTTTAGTGAATCCCGACCCGTTCACACGATAGCAAGGGGCAATTTTGAAATACATGTTCTTAATTATAGCAGTGAAATAAGAACTAAATTAAAACACTGCAATAAATGCAACTTGTCATCTGCCTGTACACTGTTTTGTCTTTGTTATGTGACATGCATATAAAAATATTCCGACAATGTGTCCTCTGGTGCCCTGCTGCACAGTCTCAGGCTTGAGTGTACAAACATGGGGTTTTGTACAGCATGCCTGATTAGTGTATTTTTGGCGGGGTACTCCACTGGACAACTATACAGAGGCAGGGATATGTTTAAAGTCCAAATTACCGATTTTTGTAGGACAGAAAATTGTGAAAAAGCTCAATACAGTTACCAAAGAAATAGCTGTCGTGGTAAGATTTAAAGACTCTTTAATTTCATTATGTATTTCTCGAGTCTTTTGTATTCATTTACATGTTTTAAATAAGTTCATTTCATAAAATTTAAAAGATTATGGCTTTCAAAGGATGCTCAATTTATAGAAAAAAAATGTCTTTTTTTAATCGTATATCATTAAAATTTGTAAAATTTGTAAAACTTAAGTGTTATAGTTATGGGCTCTTATAACTACATGTATAAATATATATATATACATGTTTTCCAACAGGTCAGAAATTTTGGAGTCGCGTTACTCCATGTTGGGAAACCTGTTCTTCGTCCCGTCAGTCCCCAGTCAATATAATCACCAATAAAACACGTTATGTACCACGTGGTTCACTCCAATTCTCCGGATTTTGTGACCGAGTCAATGTTCAGTTCATACACAGAGGTAAGTGTTAAATCGGATATGAAATTCATAAGAAGAATGTTATGAACACTGCAACTAAGCTTTCAAAAATTGTCTTCATTTCCTACCAACTGTTAGGATTTTAATATCGTATTCCTTTGATATTCATGCATAAGTTTTGTGTAATGATTTTTTAAAATTCGTTTTATCTATAAACATTTTTACCTTACACAGTGTACCGTACTCGTGATTAATTAACACAGTGTACCATTAAAAGCTACAAATAGACGAAATTGTAGGCATTTCATTTTGGTATTTTTTTTTCAAATATGATACACTGAGGTAGAAAATGGTTTTCCTCAATTCTATTTTCTTTTCCTTTTGATTTCTGACATGCAATAAAAATTAGCCAAATGTTTCCACAAAAACACGTTAATGCTAGAAACTTCACAATCTGTCTCCTTCCCCGCATATCCTGTGTGACAAATTACCTACCTAATTATTAAGTGTACAATATGACAATTAAAACACTTTTGATGAAATTTATCATCCCATGCTTCTCGTGATTAATTAAGACGGTCTCCGTTTAAAAGAAAATTCTAAAGGAAGATGAAATGTATCGTATATTGAATCCTTAGGTTAATTTTATTAATTGTAATACAAAACAAAGTTAATGTATTGCTTTTCTTATCAAGGTCTGGCACAAGAGTATATCAATTCTTAAAAGGGGGCTTTGTCCAAACTAACTTGTAAAACAACTTTTTAGATTTTTTTTAATTGTAATGAAGATGAACTACGGGGTATAATACATTATGGGATAAAAATAGTATATGACAATATGATATAAAGTAATGTTAATCTAACAGGGACTGTGCCTCACTTATGGGTGTATAGAGCCAGTGAGATTGTGATGTGTAACGTCCCTAACCGGGAAACACAGCAGTATATCTTCAGGGACGTACACCCCCACCTAGGGAGGAGGGAAGCTAGAGGTTCCGAACACGCCTTTGACGGCTCTTTTTACCCCATGGAGGTATAAAATCGAGAAAAAGTAATAATTACAATTCTACACGTAAGCATAAACGAATTTTGTTTGTTTTTATCAGTCTTGCAAATCACTATTATAGAAGAGTAATTTTGTCTACAACGCTGTTTCCCGAAACATATCGCATAATTGTTTTCTTACATGTACAACGGGAGTAGTTTATACTAAATATATAGTATTTCCGAAGAAATTGCACTTAATCAATCTGACAGTCAAATTTCTTTACATTTTCATAATTTTGCAGTTTGGCAACGATTTTGATTATGAGATATAGCTGGATTAATGATAAAAAAAAATAATTAGCAGCAGTTAATACTTGTAATTTTTAACCTTTGTTTTATATATCTTGATACTTTCAGATGCATTTGGTTTTTATAAACAGTAGATATAGAACTTTACAGGAAGCCAGGAAAAAACCCGGGGGTCTAGCTGTCATTGGAGTCATGGTAGAGGTAACACAGCTCTCAATAATATCTAAAAATAGATTTTATAGCAAAGACCATTTTTAAAAGCTTAAAAAACGACTTTTAAAAAACCACGTGCGACGTTAGTGCCAACTTAGACACATAACGGTTATGTAATAGATAAAATATGATGTTTTGTAACTTAATGAAATATCACTCGTCATTCTTGCATTACTTTAATTGATTAAAAGTAAATGATCGTTTTTGCAGTAATGAAACATAACACAGTGATTGGTGAAAAACGATTGTAATAACTTTTTGTTTCAGATAGAAGAGAACAAAAAGGTAATTAATCTCAAAATAACATGTGTCATGAAACAGACTGTGAAAGAAAATATCAATGTCTTTCCAAAATTAATGATTATACAATTACCTAATCTTTTTCCTCCCCTACCTGATCATTTCCAGTTGTTTTTTTTTAAATCATATTTATTTATCCATTCATGTTTTAAACCTAAACCTGTCTTAGAAAAACCAAGACAGTCGTAAACAAATAATGGACATCCGGAAATTTACATCTTTATTTTAGGAAACGAAATTTAAAAAAAATATTTCTGGGTTCTCTGGAAGAATTTATTTATGAAACTCTATTATGCTTGTTACTACAGAAAAATAAAAAGAGTTTGAACTTGATTCTAATTCTTCTAGTTAAAGTTCCTCGATTATTACAGGGACGTCGATCCAGTAGACAGGGTAACACATATCATCAGAACCCCTGTAGGAAGGTAACTGGATGTAGGATAAAAAGTGCTACCAGGCTTAGTCATCTTATGGTTAAATACTTCAGGAAGATACACAAAGAAAAGACAAACCAGAAAAATGGTAATGCTATCTCAAAGTTTGTCATTAAAAAACTGACTTTGAAATTGCACGAAATGTACAAAAATATTGATAAAATGCATTGATTTTGTGACCGACGGGCAAACATTGCCATGGCAAATTTAACTGAATAGGAGACCATTTACTTCTTTAACATTTTTCTTTTTCACCGTTCTATACACATCCCATGAGAAAGGGATGCAATCTATCTTTAAATTTTTGTTCTATCTATTCTTAAAAAGAATTCGATATTAATTGCTCAGAATCTTTTTCTCTGTTAGCAAGGACTTTCATTTTTTTTGTATGAAACATTAGAGACAAGCTATAACCGGTACGACAAGTTGATAAAATAAGGATTTCAACGATCTCGTTTGATGTCAACTTTTGGAAAATTCTATGGTGGATGCAATTGACCTTTCAGCAAAAACAATCTTTCATTAAGAAGTCGAAAGCTGAGTGACGCGCTTTTCATATTATAATTGTCAGGCCACACTTTACACATTATTGTCGACAGATAATCAGTCTGTTTGTCTCCATTACAATGAGCACAAGAAAATTTTAAAAAATCGATTGGAAACGAGTATACCTCTATTGCACCTTATCCCCCTCTGATTTTTTTAGGTCCTTTGTTTCTTATACTACACCCCCCGTGGGGATCCGGGTTAGAATAGGTCCTCAGTACCCCCTTGCTTGTCGTAAAAGGCGACTAAATGGGGCGGTCCTTCGGATGAGACCGTATAAACGACTACAGCAGGTGTGTATCCCCCCTGCTCAAAGGCCGTAAGTGCCGAGCATAGGCCTAAATTTGCAGCCCTTCACCGGCAATGGTGACGTCTCCATATCAGTGAAATATTCTGGAGAGGGACGTTAAACAGTATACAGTCATAATAATCTTCTGCTACACTTTGTATTATTTCAATGGACGTTGAATTTGATTAGTGTACGTTATCTCCATATTCCATGTTGTTGTTTCTAAGAAATTGCTTGATGAGAAGCATCTGTGGTGCATCATAAATACGTGAATCTGTTTAACGATACATATGTATTTGAAAGAAGTGGAAAACCCTTGTCCGGGTTTTTTTAGTTCTATTTTAAATGCATTTTAGACAGTGAATTGACGACGGATTTAGTATGAAAAATGGCGGATTTAGTATTAAAAAAAACCTTAGTCAGCATTTGACGCAATGATAAACTGTATTTGCTGACGAGGCCATTGCATCGACCATGGAACGTACGAAATGATGACTTTAAAGGAGACTGCCGATATTCTTGTTTCATCAATGTCCTTGGCAATAATTTACCTCGTTTTAGAAATTGTTCATACGTAGAGCATGTACTTCGGAAATGATGACTGTGAACGCGACTGCAAATATTCTTGTTAATATATCAACTTGTTTTTGTTTTTTTAATAATTTACCTCCTTTTAGAAACTGTACATAAATGTACGTATAGTATGCTCTTGTGTATCAAATCAACTGAGATACATCCCGTATGCAGGTGATGAAGATATATTTAAGGAATAACTGTCTTATTTTTCGAATTCATTAAGTGATCAATGGATTGGCTTGTGTGATAATTTGCATAAATGCCGAAGGCGTTTATGAATAAAATTATCACACAAGCCAATCCATTGATCATCTTCATGAATTCGAAAAATAAGACAGTTATTCCTTATATTTACATTCTTTGATTCCGCCAATCCACGGGCTCCAAGCCTGCTTTTCTCTAGGTGTTGTCCCGCCCTGCACATGTTTTTTTTTGGAACAGCGCTGAAACATTCATGAGGAAATAAATTACATTTACTATTGGTAATTTTATCTCGGACAAAAACATTGGAAATGTAAATATTGCTGCATGAGTAACGAAGTTGACGACAGAAAAGTTGAAGTCATCACGTTTAGCATAGAGCTTGGTTGTTAGATTACCATTAATGTCTTTTTCATGTGAAATATCCAAATACCAAACAGATGTGTCAGACTTTTTCTCTCAACCGCACCGGGATATATTATTGACAGCACTGCTTTCTCCCAAATTAACAACTATCTTCATCCATTAGAAATACTTTTAAAATCTGTAAAATTTGTATATGAATGATACACATGTACTATACTTTACTTCCGGTATATTGCAACAAAAATGACTTATTTGACTAAAACTTAACATGGCGTGGACATTGTTCATTGTAAACGAAGAAAGTCGTTGAACACTCGGCATAAGTCGGGTGGTCCAATGGTGATGCGAAGCGCATGCGCAATATACACAAGTCCGGGTCCCGAATGGAATGAAATGGCGGATCCTAGAATTTAACTGAATCACACAGCTGATGATTTAAATATACAATTCACTATACACAAAATCACAAGGCGATTTGTAATTTTCAGTTCACTGCAGTGAAGATCAATCTTTCATAGTGAAGTATACAGATAAAGTGTAGAAGATAGGGTATTAATTCAGCACTCGATCGTATGTTGATTTACGATGTCAAAATGTAGACTGGCTCCAAAATAATATTATAAGCGTGGGCGCCATTGTAACCCGTCGGTAGAGATCAGTAACAATTGTCTTGGGTTTTTGATATTTATATATGGATAATAAACCTACAACATTCATACAAAATACTAAACATTCATACTTTACACACAATTCACTAACTTTAAATATCCGTACTTTACATCAACTTTACATTTAAATTACTTCAATAAATATATATCTGGAAATTATGAATATATATAAAAGCTTACCAGTCCACATCACCCTATATTCTATACATTCAAAATAATACATGCTGCGACCTTGACGGTGTGCATGGGTATGGGCGGACAGGTGTTTTAAACTGGTTTTGTTAGTGAATACAACTCACTCTCTCTCTCATACACCTCTTTCTCTCTATCATACCTAATCACGTGACACTAACAACGAATGACAATGAAGACAGACAAACAATGAAGACACTAAACACAAATAGGTGGATCCAACATCCAACACCTGGCTACACTGGTGAGCTTCAGATAAAAGATACCTCAGAGTCTGTTTCATACGTGGATATTTTACTCGAAAAAGACACTAATGGTAATCTAACAACCAAGTTCTATGATAAACGTGAAGACTTTGACTTTTCTATCGTCAACTTCCCTTACCTATGCAGTAATGTACCTTCATCACCTGCATACGGATTATATATATCTCAGTTGATTCGATACGCAAGAGCATGCTCTACGTATGAACAATTTCTAAAAGGAGGTACCGGGGTAAGTTATTGACTAAAAGTTGGTGAAACAAGACTATCAACAATCTCGTTTAAAGTCATCATTTCGTAAATTCTATGGTCGATACCATGACCTTGTCAGCAAAAACAATTTATCATTGAATCAAATGCTGATTGACGTTTTTCACACTAATTGTTAGTCCATTATTGATACACTGATTTAACGACGGGTTTTTCCGTTATTTCCCGATCATGACAAGGAGCGCACGGCGGATGTGATCGGTCGGCAGAGAATGCTCACTCCTCCTTGGCACCTGATCCCATCTCTAGATCTGATGTTTTGGAAATCCGTGATTGCTATGCTCCTATTTTGTATTGTTTTTTAGACTTTGATATTGAATATTGTTCGTTATTTTTTCCATATCCTGCATTGACGCTTATGGTCTACTTCTTTGCATGCATGGTAATCTTCATTGAAAATAAATTTGCAGCGAGGTGACATTTACGTTTACAATGAAATATTTGGAGACATAATGAACAGTATTCAACAAAGTTCATTAAATTAATTACAAATCAAGAGAAGAGCAAACACGGAGCTCTCATAAATTACTATAGGTGGGATCACGTGCCATGGAGGAGTGAGCATCCCCTGTCGACCGATGACATTTGCCATGTTATCCCGTTCATGAACTGGAAGTAATGGGAAAATCCATTGATAGTTCTGTGTTTTAAAAATGACTTGAAACAATCTGTATGAGAAACGTCAGTCAATATTTGACTAAATGAATTAAAGATTGTAAATGCTGACAGGATCATTGTATCAACAACTGAAGTTACGAAATGATGACTTTAAAAGAGGTTTAATTTTTTTTTATTGACAGAAATGAATACCATG